GATTTTAACAGTATTAGATAATTAAATTGAGAAAAAAGATAATAATATAATAATATGCCCAAACATATAAATTTTTGCTAATAGAAATTAAATAAACTAAAATTAATAAATAAATTGGAGACAAAACTGTCATAAAAGAATAACATTTATTTCTAAATGTTTGAAGTTATAAATCAATAAATTATGATGAAAAATTTCATAAAATGATTATGATTTATAAAATGTAACAATATTCAATTTGATCTAAGTATTTTATTGAGTTAAACAACTCCATCGGCATAGTGCATTAGGTCTTTCTTGAAAAAAAAGTTCATCATAACTTATTAAATATCTAATATCATATCTAATATTGCAAGTATTTAGAATTTATATATTAAAACATGTAAAGATATGAATTTTTGAAATAAAGTTGGATGATAAATGTAGATATATTAAATAAAGAAAATATTATATTTAGAAGATGATTTTTTTTAATTCCTTAATAATGATTTATCATGTTAATAAAAATGGGAAATAAATTAGAAAAGATCAAATAAGAGAAACAAAATATAAAGCTGCCTTAAATAATTTTATAATAATATTTGACTATTCTCATCAAGAATTTTCATTATACTATTTAATATAATTAATATAAGAAGAATATATTGGTAGAATAGGATATTTAATTATTCTATCTACTATATAGATCATAACCAATAAAATCTTTTTTATTCCAATAAATAAAAATTTATAAATAGATTAAACACCTTTAATGGTAAGGTTGATATGAGAAAAAATGAAAAGAAGATTGGAAGATGGATTGCAATATGGAAGGGCAAAACTTTAGAAGCTGTTAATAGATTGTAAAGCAGAATTCTTATCAAAACTTCTAAACTCTAAAGATGGAATATAGTCAGATCTGTAAAATGAACTAATCAATAATTATTGGAGTTAAATTTATTAAAATAAACCAGAAATTAATGTATTTGGAGAATATAATTATTAAAAATAGGGAGTTTGAAAATTTATTAATTAGTCTAATGTGATGTATTTGGGGGTTTGTATAAATAAGGTTAAAAGATGGAAAATGGATAGATATAAATGACAGCGTCTGGAAGTATTGATTTATTATTAATTTATTAATTAGAATTAAATCATTTATAATGGTAAATATAAATTGGCAATAAGATTTGGTTTATGGAATATCTTATATAAATGTAAAGACTCAAATTACAAAATCATCCAATTATACTCCTAATTAAAAAATTTTTGAACATGGGTAAATAACACATCTAACTTAGAGCATTCTTAATAAGTAATCAAGGTTACAATTATTCTCATATCTTCAAAAACTAAAGATGTCTAGTAATCATTCATTTTTATAAATATGATGTTATATTAATAGAAATCAACATGAATCTCTTAATAGATTCAACACATTGGATGGTTGAACTCTCAAAAATATTACAATCCATAATTGAATAAATAAACTATAAATTTATAAAAGATGGCTAATTTAAAACTTGAGTTGAAATAGGAAGGAGACAAAAGATTATAAACAGACTTAGGTAATTCTATATAAAAAATCTGATTGACTAAGGAAATAAATAAAATGAGAAGTCGATTATTAATTTATAAGATAGTAAAATGATTTAATATTCTTAGAATTCAGAATGCGTAAAAAAATATATTTAGAATTATTCTTTTTATTCTGATTTTAAATTTTATTTAATTTTAATAGTCTGAAATTTCCTAAGAAATGGTCCATTTTTGATGAAGAGTATATGCTGATAAAATTTTTAAATTTAGAAAAGTTATTATTGTCTCATTATAAGCATAATTTTATAGAAAGTGGAAAAAAATGAAATTAGAAATCTATTAAGAATTTTAAAGATAGAAAAATAATTTGATATTCTTTTAATTAAAAATGCTAAAATAATATATTTGGCATTAATCCTTTTATTTAGATTTTATATTTTTCTTTTGAGATAAAGTCTAAGAATTTTTGAAAAAAAGTCAAATTTTTAATTTTTGATGGAGAGTAATTTTTATATATAGTAATTATCAAATCTAAATCTTTAATATATAAATTTAAGATTAAATGTAGACTAATATTTAATCGAATATTTAAAGTTTAAAAAATTAATTACTTTAATTCATGTTATTGAAAATATAATGATCGTCAATACTATTACAATTACCATATACAATTCTAACAATTACCATTCCAATAACTAAGGTAAGTAGATGTGAGATTTAGTTTGATAATCCCAAATGTTATTATAAAAAATAATTAAAGAAGTAAAGTTATGATATGCCATTTCTTAAAGTATGATTTCCTTATGATTAGTTATTTTTTTTATTAAATAATTTCTTAATTAAGTTATTAAGTATCTTATAATTCCTTTTCTTTTTCTTCAATATTAAATTTATATTTAAATAATTTTTCAGGATTATTAATGTAATAATCAATATAACATGTCAATTTTCTTATTTCTTATAAAATGAGTACTGAATGACTATAGAGAATTAAATAAACAAATTTGCCTAAAATCTTATTATTTTTTAAATCATAATACAATTCAATTCCAAAAATAAGAATGAATTAAATAAGAAAAGGATAGAATAAAAATAGTTCTTTTTCAAAATCATCTGATATTCTAAGTATTGCTTAAGAGTATAAATTCTTATTTAATAAATCAAATGAATTGTATAAAGTTAGTAAGTTACGATATGAATAAAAAATATAAGGAGAATCTGTAACTGTTCTACCATCATAGACATATGCTGCTTTAAATGTATATTAATAGTTTATTAATATGCTTAGGGCTTATCTCATAGTTATATTGTACAACTCACCAATATCTGTTTTTACATAAATATAAATTTCATAAACTTCAGATAGAAATGATTGTAATTCTAATTTATTAAGAATAGCTTCTTAATTTTAATATACATCATCAAATCCTAGATTTAAATTAGAATTTGGAAATTTTAAATAAAAGTCTAATTAAGGTTTGGTGAGTTATTTTGCTGCAAATTGATTATTATAATTGATAATTGTATATCTAGTAACAATAAATGTTTCAACTGGTTAGAATAAATCATATTTTATTTTTAATAATTCTAATTCATTTAAGTTGAAATTTAGTAAATTTATACAATCAATAAAAGTTAATAAGATTTAAAGAAAAAATAAAAGTTGATGTAATGTTAGCACCACTATTAACATTTTTTCAGTTTGAACTAGGTTATTTTTATGTCTTATTTTTTCGAATAAAGAATATTTCTAATAAAATTTCATTTCATAATTCTATTTGATTTTTCCATTATTAAAAGTTGAACTTTTTGCAATTTAATTCATATCTCTATCAATAGAGTTTTCCTCATATTTCTATGTTGATTATACTATCTTTTTGTTTCCATCTGTTTTTGTATCATCATATTTTATCAAAGTCAATGTCTATTCATATCTAACAGTATTTAACATATCTTATTTTTAACCGAAATTACACTCTTAATCTATTTGATCATATGGAACAGCTATGTTTACTTATTCTTCGACCTCTTCAAAACAATTGATTGATAGTTTTTATTGGGTTCTCATTGAATTAGGAAATATTATGGTTTTATTTATACATTTTATATAACTGAATCTTATCTTATAATAATTATATGCAGATTTTTCAATTATACATAATGATATAAATGTATTCAATCGTGATATATCCTACCAGATATCTTTATGGATAAAAGGATGAGATTATTTATGGCTTTCTTTACCATTAAAGACTTATTAAGTTTAAAGTAAGCAAAAGTTTGGTAATTTAATTTCAATATATTATGGTTATGATATCTAAGAAATATTCGTAAACTGTGGAATAATTAATTCTATATCAACTCCTAGAATTTAGGGAGAATCTTTAAATTCTAAACTAATTTAATCCAAGAATCCTTAACTGAAGCTACTTACTTTAGATTTATCATTAATAATCAATATTATTTATTCTTCATCTAAAAGAGTTCCAATTGATATTGCATGAAAACTATTATCTTAAATAATCACATCATTCATTANATTTTTTTTATTAAATAATTTCTTAATTAAGTTATTAAGTATCTTATAATTCCTTTTCTTTTTCTTCAATATTAAATTTATATTTAAATAATTTTTCAGGATTATTAATGTAATAATCAATATAACATGTCAATTTTCTTATTTCTTATAAAATGAGTACTGAATGACTATAGAGAATTAAATAAACAAATTTGCCTAAAATCTTATTATTTTTTAAATCATAATACAATTCAATTCCAAAAATAAGAATGAATTAAATAAGAAAAGGATAGAATAAAAATAGTTCTTTTTCAAAATCATCTGATATTCTAAGTATTGCTTAAGAGTATAAATTCTTATTTAATAAATCAAATGAATTGTATAAAGTTAGTAAGTTACGATATGAATAAAAAATATAAGGAGAATCTGTAACTGTTCTACCATCATAGACATATGCTGCTTTAAATGTATATTAATAGTTTATTAATATGCTTAGGGCTTATCTCATAGTTATATTGTACAACTCACCAATATCTGTTTTTACATAAATATAAATTTCATAAACTTCAGATAGAAATGATTGTAATTCTAATTTATTAAGAATAGCTTCTTAATTTTAATATACATCATCAAATCCTAGATTTAAATTAGAATTTGGAAATTTTAAATAAAAGTCTAATTAAGGTTTGGTGAGTTATTTTGCTGCAAATTGATTATTATAATTGATAATTGTATATCTAGTAACAATAAATGTTTCAACTGGTTAGAATAAATCATATTTTATTTTTAATAATTCTAATTCATTTAAGTTGAAATTTAGTAAATTTATACAATCAATAAAAGTTAATAAGATTTAAAGAAAAAATAAAAGTTGATGTAATGTTAGCACCACTATTAACATTTTTTCAGTTTGAACTAGGTTATTTTTATGTCTTATTTTTTCGAATAAAGAATATTTCTAATAAAATTTCATTTCATAATTCTATTTGATTTTTCCATTATTAAAAGTTGAACTTTTTGCAATTTAATTCATATCTCTATCAATAGAGTTTTCCTCATATTTCTATGTTGATTATACTATCTTTTTGTTTCCATCTGTTTTTGTATCATCATATTTTATCAAAGTCAATGTCTATTCATATCTAACAGTATTTAACATATCTTATTTTTAACCGAAATTACACTCTTAATCTATTTGATCATATGGAACAGCTATGTTTACTTATTCTTCGACCTCTTCAAAACAATTGATTGATAGTTTTTATTGGGTTCTCATTGAATTAGGAAATATTATGGTTTTATTTATACATTTTATATAACTGAATCTTATCTTATAATAATTATATGCAGATTTTTCAATTATACATAAGGATATAAATGTATTCAATCTTGACATATCCTACCAGATATCTTTTTGGATGAAATGATGAGATTTTTTGTTGCTTTCTTTACTATTAAAGACTTATTAAGTTTAAAGTAAGGAAAAGTTTGGTAATTTAATTTCAATATATTATGGTTATGATATCTGAGAAATATTCGTAAACTGTGGAATAATTAATTCTATATCAACTCCTAGAATGTAGGTAGAATCTTTAAATTCTAAACTAATTTAATCCAAGAATCCTTAACTGAAGCTACTTACTTTAGATTTATCATTAATAATTAATATTATTTATTCTTCATCTAAAAGAGTTCCAATTGATATTGCGTGAAAACTATTATCTTAAATAATCACATCATTCATTAAAATCATAGGTTTTATTATTAAATTATCCTAATAAATAGTTTAAGTGGCTTTTTAGAAAAAATTAGATTTTCCTGTTTTTATGAATTATTAAACCATTTCTTAATGATGTTCTTAAATACCTTTAGGAACAATTTCCATAATATTTTAAATATTATCTTTAATTTTTTCATGAAAATTCGAAGATACTTTAATAACGTTTTAATTCTCTAAGTTAGTGATTAAATAGATTGATTTATAGGATAAAAAATCTGAGTTTAAAGTTAAGATTTTATTATATATAAATTCATCTGGAAATGAAGATTAATTCATTATTCTTATTGCAAGCAAGATGTCGTTGCATAATTCAGCATAGCCAAAAGACAGACATCTTTAGTATCTTATTAAAGGATATTTTTTGTAGGAATCTTCAATTTAGAAAATTGTATTTTCAAATAATTCAACTATTTCATTTGCTTACTTTTATATGTCACTTTTTCTCCTATTACTCAAGCATATTTGATGAAAGTCAACTTTTTTCTAACAGCAATGAATTAATTATTCTGAATATTAAATACTCTACGTTTCAACAGAGATTAAGCTATCAATCAAGATATTATTTAATTAGATTGAATTATTAGTCAGCATCTAATTCCTTAATTCATTCAAAACTATTTATTTCAATATTTTAGATCTAGCATGAGAAATTATAGATTATCTTGAAGGTTTACTTAATTGATATTAATAAGCTGTAAAATATTCTTTTAAAAGTAACAATAAAGATAAATGTAGTTATTTTTCAGGAACATGATCAAATAATTTGCACAATTAAAATTGAAATTATTAATTAGGCAATTTAGTTTGTTCTGTTTTCGTAAGGTTGTAACTCTAGGTTTCTTAAAGAGAATATTTAAAATACACAGATTTTAAGTTATATTACTATTATTGATGAGTAAAGAAATAATGGATAAATATGAACTTTTAATTTAGAAACCTAAATTAATTACAAAACAATCTTGCTTTAAAAAATGTAGTCAATTTAAGACAAAAAGGCCAAGCAATAATAAATAATATTTATGCTTCCTGGCCACTTGTATTTCCAGTATAATTGAAACCAAGAAATGATAAACAATATAATATTGTGTTAAAATGTGTAAAAAATTACATAAATAAAAGATTTGTATTGACTTAGGGCATATTTAACAAAATATTTATATTACTTAAGGCGCAAATAAGAATTGAAAATACAACTTAAACATTTCTAAATTCTTCTTAAGATGGATTAAATGAAAATATCATAACCTAAGCCAAATTTAATAGCTATTAAATGTAAATGTAAATTGAATCATTTTAATTATTAAAGCTATAATATTTAAACTCTATACTAACTTTTGTTATAATCAAACGTTGGATAAGTAACAAAATAAAAAAACTTGATACAATATAAGAAAGTATTTATTGTTTCATTAAAGTTAATTCAAGAATTATATTTATTAGCCAAATATCAAGAATTTAATTGATATGAAAATTCACTATTTAAAATACTCTTAAAAATTAGCATTAATTTTATTATTGTTCTTGGAATATTTGAAAACTATAATTTACAATTAAAAATCCAAATAGAGCATATATTCCATAATCGATATATGAAAAGAATAGAGAATCTTAACTTAGAAATAAATATGGTCTTGCAAATTTAGCAATTATCATAACAAAATAATTTTCTTAACTCTAGCTTATCTTAGGTATTACAGCATATGAAAAAGGTAAAAGTGATCCCATCAAACCAATTAGATATAAAGCCAATTTGCTGATTTCATACTTTTAATCATTACAGATGATATTAGTGATGAAATTATAGGTTAATTTGAGAATAACATTTTTTTCCATTATTAATATTGATTATTAATTAATATTGAAATCTCTAATTAAAATGAAAGAATAAAGTATTTTTGATCTTTCTTTTGTATAAACAAACTATTATTAGGTTTCTAGAAATGTATTCATATCAAAATTTAGGAAAAAATTTTGTTATAAATAAATATGTAGTAAAAACTATTATTCTCATTTGAATATTAAATTGAAGAATATTTTATTATATTATCAAGTCTAAAGATAGATAATATCACATAATATCCAAAATATTATAAATCTAAAACTTTTTCTTTTTCATTATTTGTGATTTAATAATAAATTTATTTTCTAAGATCAAACTCATTTTTATTCTGCTACAAAATTTTCTCATATTTCTTGTCTTGCTTTAATTGATTCTATTGCATATTTAAGATAACTGAATGCCTCTATTTCTTAATTACTTTATTCAAATCTATCTGATTTTTCCATACTAATAAATTATACAAACTATTTTCTGTTGTTCAGGATCCAAAAAATATATTGATAATTATTATTACTCTTAGAATTATTTAGGGATTCTAAGTAATCAACCTTCACATATCTATATCCTTGTCTGACTCTTTATTCTAGAATAAAGAAGTAAACTTAAGCCATAGCTACTAGATTTCCTCTGGTTTTCGATTACACAAATATTTCATAAAGTAATTTTATTGCAAGTTTAATAATAATTGAGCAAAATCTCATCTTTGACTTCTTGCTTTTAGAAAATACGATTCTAATTTGAAACTACTTGGTACATTAATACTCTTATTAATTGAAGTATCAATTTTATGAACAATTTCATTAATTAAATTAATATCAAAAATATCTTATTGAAGAGTTATCACTTTTTGAATATGAAACCACTGATGATTCTTATGAATCAATCGTTATATAGTTTTCTTAAGCTAAGGTTAATGTTATCATTATGTCAACATATCTTAATGATGCTCTCTATCATAATTCAATATTCTTTAAATAAAGATTCTACCGATATTATATATAATAAATTTTATCAATATCCACAGTTTTGTATGTAAGTTTAGTAGATTAAATAAAGTTAATAATAGATATTTAAAAATTTTCAACCAAATTCTCTCGTCAATTCTAACGCTTTCAGTATTTTTCTGTTAGTTATGTGTGTTTCTGGTCATCAGGAGGTATCGAATCATTCCATTCTAAATTTGAATACTAATATTCTCCTGAAATTCTATATTACCAAAGTCAACTTGATTAATCTATTAATCCTTCTCATTTTCAATTTATAGTAAAGATTAGAATGCTTAATTGATTTATCTATAGAAGACAAAGCTAATGATCATAAATAATTTAGCACTTACTGAATAGAAATTACTTTTTAATTTGTTGCTTAATTGACTAAGTAAATTAATAAGAGAAACTGCTCTTAAAGCCTCTCCTCTATATAATAAAAGCCAAAAAAAATTTTCACAATAATAATGCCAATTCTGCAGGATTTAAGTCATATCTATTTTTCATATTTGTCCTATTGATACTTCCTTTAAATCTTAAAATTTTTACAAATCTAATTGAATTCTAATTTTATACTTTCTTCCCTTGAAAATTCTTCATCAATTGCAAATTTTTCATTAAGTTTTCTAATTCATGATTGGTATCTCTATTTATTTCTTAAATTAGTTTTTCACTTGCTTTTAGTTAATTCTCAATAAAATCTTGTTTTATTTTAAGAATAACATCTCTATGTATGAGCATAATCTTATTCTTCTTGAGGTAGTAATGAAGATCTAGTTTTCGTTTTCTTTTGTTTATTCTCAAACCTAGAAAGCTTATATTCTTGTATTAAGTTCTTCCTGTGTGAGTTATTTGTTATTTTATACTTCCTTTAATAGAAGTGATGAGTTGTCAAATTTTAAAATTATCTCGAAATTCCAATTAAATTCTTCCATTTCTATTCCACCATCAATGATTAAACAAAATACGCCATGATTTTGGCTAATAACATTTTATTTATCAAACAAACAGTCTTTAGATAACTAAGTAAGTGAAGATGGTCTAATTAGTTCAGTATTGAGGAAAGGCGAATCAAATATATAATCCTATTTTGCCAAATAAGGTTACAATGTCAGTTCATTTTTTGCCTTTTATGTACCTTAGAACCAACCATTATCTTTGACCTCTCTTAGCATATTAATACTTTTTTCCAATAAACAAAAGTTTACTATTCTTATACTTGATAAAGAAACGGAGCCATTGTTTTCTTTTAATAAGAAAAATTATCAAAAATTTACATTATTTAATATAACAATAAATTATTTACTCCAAATAGCAAATTCACATACACCTGTTATATTTTTCATTAATTGAGTCGATAATTAAATTAATTTTTCCCCCCACTTAATTCAAAAACATTATTAAATTTATTAGTTACCTGTAGGTTGCTTTTCAGGAGCTTAATTTTATTTAATTTTTTACTAAAACTATTATATTTTTATTCTTTTTATTATTAAATTGCTTATTTTTATTATTTAATATGCTTCAATTGATGAAATCTTTTAAGCTCTCAATATCTAAGTTAAAGACTAAAACAAAGCAATCCACATCAACTAGTCTAATTTTATTGATTTATAACATAATAGGACTTTTCAAAGCTTAATACACTTCTCCATAATTAAACTTATTCATATTTTTGCCTTTGACATGATACCAAATCTTCATATAGTTAAGCTTTTTAATTTTATGCTCCTCAAATAACTTAATGACACCATCATTCCCTAATTTATTGGCTTCTTATCTTCAATCAATTCTGACAATAGTGCAGGGAAAAACTCAATATTTAATTGTATAAATTCTTATTAAATTGAAGTGATGTCATTTGAAAAAAACAACGCTAGGTTAAATTGATCATTAAAAAACAACAAGGAGTTGAATAATTGTATAATCTATATTACAGTACATAATAATCTCTTGATGAAAATCTTAATTTCTTGTTAATCAATAAATAAGAAGTCTATTTAATTGTTCTTTAAATAATTCTCCTTATTAATTTACATAGCATTTCAAAATTAATAGGATGCTATTTTGGTCGCCTTTATGAGTAGATACATTATTAATGCATTCTCAAAATTCTAATTTATTGGATAATTTACTAAATATCTTGTCTATTTAATTAGAGGGATTCTGAAAATAGGGTAGATCAATTTTTTCTTTCCATTTTTCAACAAATGAAGGAACATAATCACCAAACTCATCTTTCATAGTTAAAATTCTGCTAAGTGATCTTAAACAGTAACATTCACTTCATATATTTCTCGTATCAATGTAGGAGGTGGTTATGCAGGTTCATCAGCATAGAATGGTTTACCTTTCTTTTTGGCATCCTTTTTCTGTTTTTACTTATTCAATCATAATGATATTTGGTACTTAATACCATTTTCTATTAAATAATTTTAATTCAGCAGTTATGAGAAATTTGATTTAATTTCATACCTACTTTTAATATTACATACTTAAATTTTGCTGATAATATACATAAATTGGCATCCCAATATTATTTAGATATTTAACTATTATAATTGATGCTTTAAGTAAAGACTGAATTCTTATAATGGTTTTTCTTACTAGAATGATTCTAACATATTAAAAAATTCAACTACAATTCTATTGGCAATTTAAAATTTTCTACAACTTAATGATGTCTCTAATGAAAGCAATAAATAATTGATACACCCTCAGTACCATTATAGGCTGCAACAGCAAACAATTTTTCTCATTTCTTTTTAATCCATTCATTGTAACAGTTGCTCTTATTTTCAATTGATTTCCTATAATTCCTGTGTTTAGATCATTACAAGTTAGTGATAAATTGAGTACGTTTGCACTGATTTTTCCAAATATCGCCATACTAGTTAAAGTTGTTTAGCTTAATCAATAGCTAACATTCGAAAAATTTGAAACCATTTAAAAAGAAGGATCGATAACGAAAGATTACAAAGAATTTATGAAGATTAAAACATGCTTCCAGAAAACTGAACCCTTTTAATGTAATGTCGAAGAGCGAAAATGGATAGGAAATAATGAGAAAACTGTTTCTTATGATTAAACTGAGCCTTTTTAGAATTATAGGGAATTAAATTTGAATTTCATAAGGCTATTGAAATTTGGATATCCATTAAATATAGGATTGTGCCTTTTAATAAAGGTCATCCTAAATTGGCAAATATAGATTAATTATGACCATTTATTGTCTAAAGTCAGTGTATAAATTTTAATGAAATATATCTAAAAAGAAAATTAATCTTGAATAAATAGGAGTTATTATTAAAATGTTCTGTTAATATTACATCAATGAATGCTTATTAAGCTTAGCCCTATTATGATTAATTAGTGGTATTCTTCTTGTCGAATGCTATCTATTCTATAAAAAGAACCAAGCTCATTTCTAAAAGTTCGGGAAATTTTAAGATTCCATTTTATTTAAAAGCCTGGGGAATGGAACCTACATTCAACTTAAATCCTTTGTTTAGATTTTACAGGTATTATTAAAAGGATAAATTTATTGATTCATTTAGGGGTGATATAGCTACTGTTAGGAGTAACTTGAATGCTATGAAATATCAATACGAATATTTTGAATTATTTAGATGTTTGTTAATACTATGCAACTTTATTTGTTATAAAATATCTTAACTAATTAGTTCTACTGCCACAATTATAAATTTTGTTCAAATAATTATATTTAGAAGATATTCATTCTATACTTGAATTAATGAAATAATTATTTTAACAAAATAATATTCTAAAAAAGGAACTTTTTTTCATTTATTATAAATAGTAGAATTGGAAAATTGAAATTAAATAAATGGTTATAATGGGGTATTAAGGCATCTTAAATAATTTCAAGATCAATCTATCTTTGAAAATCAGCAAAGTAAACTGATTGATAGATTGATTCTAAAGAAACCCCAATATTAACGAAAAATTAAAATCAAATTAAAATAACTAATATATCTTATTATTTCAAATCAGGCCAGCTAAAATTTATAAAATAAATAGTTTTCTACCCAATCTAAATTTTTAGTACTTTTAATATATAATCAAGTTTTTAACAGACTTTTTTCCTTTACTTATAAAATAACTATTAAGTAATTTTTCCCATTTTTACTGATTAAATTGTTAAAAAACTAAAAATTGCAACAACTCTTTAAATTAAATTTTCATCCATATCTAATAAATTAAAAAGATCAAAAATGTTGTTAAAACATCTAATTTTCAAGATTAAAGCTCTTTATGCTTACAACTAAGGTGTTTAGGATATAAGAAGAATATTCACATTAGTAATGACTAAATATTATTTGATATATTAAAAAACTTGAGGATGGTATAAAAGCAAGCGTGGTTTAGATTTTGTTAAGATATTTTTGTAATTATGATTATTCGATAGATCAATTGCAAATTTACTTTTAACATCCCATAATCAGATTATGTCATCAACATTGTTAGTTACTAACTTATTACCATCGGGAGTAAAATAAATTGATCTAACGGTGTCAAAAGGATCACCAAAGTTAACTTTGTTAATTCCTGTTTTAACAACCCATAGACAAATAGAGTTATCCAAACTACAAGATGCTAAAGTGCTTCCATTAGGAGAGAAACAAACTGATGTCACAATGCTATAGTGACCCTCCAATTTGGCTTTTGCTATCCTGTTTTAACATCCCATAAGCTGATAGACATATCATCACTACCAGAAGCTAATTAATTTCCATCATTAGAGAAACACACTGATCTAATTGTATTAGTATGACCTTCAAATTTTTTTTGAATATCCTGTTTAAGCATCCAAAATACAGATAGAGTAATCTTCAAAGTTAGAAGCTCTTCCATTAGAAGAGAAACAAACTAATTTGGCAATTTTATTATAACCTTCTAATTTGAATTTTTGCTATCATATTTAACATCCCAGAGACGGATAGACTCATCACTACCAGATGCTAAGGTGTTTCCATCAGATGAGAAGCAAGCTGAATAGACAATGTTAGAATGGCCATTCAATTGGGCTTTTTATTCTCCTGTTTTGACATCCCATAGACTGATAGAGTTAACATTACTACCAGAAACTAATGTATTGCTATCCAGGAGAGCAACATACTGAATAGAAATTTCCTTTATGTCCATCCAATTTGGCTTTATATTAACCTGTTTTGACATCCCATAGACTGTTAGACTTATCTTCACTACCAGAAGCAAATGTATAACCATCTGGAGAAAACAGACTGATCTAACGTAATCACTATGACCCTCTAACCTATTCAATTCATGTATTTTCAAGTTCTTCCATTTACAATTAATTAGCAACGCCCCATTTAAATTAATTTCATCAATATCTACAATATCAAATTCCGTTCCTCTCAGGTTGCAGTTTATAAATATACCACCAATCAAAGAAATGTTCTTTATCCTGATATTCAAAAAGGATAGATTTGTTAGATCAGTTTTCATTTTACCAATAATTAAAGTGCATTCGATCCACATTATATAAATTTATTATCAAATACAGTGAGATGTTAAAGTCATGTTGATAAATATTATACATCAAATACTTAAAACACTTAATTTTCCTATTCACCTAATATTAGTTCTTTTCTGTTTTGATATATTTATAGTAAAGCTCCTGATTATCATTTTTAGATAAAACTTCTAAACTATCAGAAATTTTTTATTTATCAAGCATTTTAGTAATTAAGCTAAATATTGATGTATCCATATCTTTTGTTTAATTGAGAATATCATACAAATCCTCTTTCTATTCATAACCTGGTTAAATCCTAGAGAGCAATTGGATTCCTTCTTTCGACTTTTCGATAAAAGTCTTAATGGGATTGTCCCCCCAATAGTTTGTCTTTTTTAACTCCATCTAAAAATTTTTGTCGGCATTCCATTTATTTAAAATTGTTCCTTGAACAATATATACTAATTTTTCTAAGTCAGTGTAAGAAGATTCTGCTAGATTAACATTTAAGTTTATGGGACGAATGAATGTTTAGTTTTCCATTTCAATCCAATCATATACTTACTTGATTGATTGTGAAAAC